GGGGGGGGGGGGGGGGGGGGAGCATGTAGGACAGGGGTGGGAAACCTTTTTGGGTTGGAGGCCGCTGACCCACAGAAAAATTAGTTGGGGACTGCACACAAATGAGAAGCCAAAAAACAAACAAACCCTAAAACCTTACTGATGTGGCCCTGACTGAGGAGAAAGACACTCTCCACGTTCTCCTCACATACCAGAGCCTATTGTGGTCCAGGCTAGTAGGAGCATGTAGGACAGGGGTGGGAAACCTTTTTGGGTTGGAGGCCGCTGACCCACAGAAAAATTAGTTGGGGACTGCACACAAATGAGAAGCCAAAAAACAAACAAACCCTAAAACCTTACTGATGTGGCCCTGACTGAGGAGAAAGACACTCTCCACGTTCTCCTCACATACCAGAGCCTATTGTGGTCCAGGCTAGTAGATTTTGTGTGCTTCAGTCCTTCAGTAGTGAAGGGGGGCTCCACAATGCTAGGAGGGGGAGCACTGAGCCTCTGAGGCCAGAGCCAGGCAACCCAGGGGCTGCATCCGGCCCCCGGGCCTGAGGTTCCCAACCCCGATATAGGAAGTCTTCTGCTGACTAATACAAAACAAGATTTCCCTAACTATTGTTTTGCTTCCAGGAAGAAAAAAAAACAAAACCTTGTACCTATGTAACCTTGTCTGTATTTAGCTCTTGTTCCTTTATTTACCTACCACCTAGTAAAAGAGATTGGCAATTGAGAAAATTTCAGTTACAGCTGACAAGACAGACAACAGAGGCCTGAAAAGATAACCTTTTTCTCAGTATAATAAGCACCTAGAAAAAATGTTAATTCACAGCTTCATATGTCACATCAGGGGCACAGGGTGCCATAAGGGATTGGTAATGAGGCACCGACCCTGTCAACTTTAGTTTAGTGATTCAAATATAGATTATGATGTCATTATTATTCAGTGACTTGGTGGCTTACTTGAAATTAGTGTCATGATCTCAGACTAGTCCATCTGGACACACTACAAAAATTACCATCTTGTTCACCATTTTACCTCCATAAAGTGGAACAGGAACAAATCTGTGCTTCAGTTTTAAGTTCATGAACTGGTGTGTCTGCTGGAGAAAAGTAGAACAGTGAACAGATGCTTTAAAAAATATGAGCTCATACTTGGATTGCCTGTCAGTAATTTCACAACCCACAACAGCTGAGAATCACTATGGAGGTTTATGCTATAGGGATTTCCCTTCTATCCCTGTTTATTCCTGTAATACCCCATGTGCTGGGTCTTGTGAGAAGGCTTGCATAGGGCCTATGACTAACTCTGCAAGTCTTTCACAAAAGTCATGGATTCTGTGACTTCTGCTGCAGCTAGTGAGAAGGCTTTCCTGAGCAGCTGGGGCAACCCAGGACAAATCGCACTAGTCAATGCTTGCATTGCCCCGGAGCAGCAATCAGGGACCATCAATGGCAGGGCTCCAACTGACTCCTGCATAGGGCAACTTCAGTGTCTAGGCCCAAGTAGGTTTCAGATGCCCCCTGGTCTGGAGTAACAGCTGCAGCTGATCTGAGGCTGCCAATCCTCATCCAGAGCAGCAGTATCGACAGGGCTCCAGGCGGATCCCCACCCAGAGCAACAGCATCAACAGAGCTCTGGGCTGCTTCCCCCTGCCCCCTTCCCAACAGCAGCATTGGTGGGGACCTGGACTTCAACAGCAGCAGCATGGGTGGGGCCACAAACTTCCCCTCCCCCACAGCAGCAGCATGGGTAGAGCCACGGGCCACCTTCTCTCCCAGCAGCAGCGGCATGTGTTGGGCCCTGGGATGCCTCACCCCAGCAGTGGCAGCACTCAGAGTGCTCCACCCAAGAGGAGTGCCCCCCTCCCAGAGCAGTAGTGTCCATGGAAGTTCTCTGCCCCCAGCATCTAAGATTTAGTTAGGGGTATTTTTAATTAAAGTCATGGTCAGATCAAGGGCAGTGACTTCTTATTTATTGCCTGTGACTTGTCCATGACTTCTAAAAATACTTGTGATTAGATCTTAGCCTTACCCATGACAGGTATGCAGTGTCTGAACTAGGGGAATTATTCCCAGGCTGGCTATGGGTCTCTTATGTCCCCTTTACACCATGATAATAAACCTGAATAAAACAGTCTGTAGACATGCTGCATTCCATCTGTTAATGTTTAGTTATTATTGAAGAATTAGTGAAGAAGAGATTATCTCATATTAGCTAAATGTTAATAGTGACCTCTGGATGAGTGGTATTACACACAGCAGCCCCAACGTTCTACCATCTTTACACTAATTAGTACAGCATATCTGTAATAGTCTACTTAAGCTCTTGCTTGGAGATTTTTTTTTGTGTGTGGAATAGGGAAGGAGAAGTAAAATACCATTATTACATTTACTAGTTTCTTCATAAAAAAAAGTGAGGAGGAAGTGCAGTAGTGTGTACTATTGCAAGCCATGGAATGTAATTCTAATTTCATTTTGCAGAGCGAAAGGGTTTTGGAACCCGATGCAGAACTGCTTTCATTTTAAGACTATCAGTGTAATATTTGACACTGAAATACAACATTCTATTTAAAAACAACATACTCTGGCTGTGATGACGACTCCACAGAGCATTTTACAACTAACTCACTATATTCTGATGCTTGTCAATATCCCAGTTCTCTAAATGGTCATCCCCTGCAGAATGTTTCCCCCTTAGAGTGCGTCTAAACAGCACCCTTCTGTCGAAATAAGCAATGCAATTTGCACTATGCAAATTGTGTACATTATTTCGAGTCTAGGTCAAAAGAGCTTATTTTGAAATTTCAATATAAGACACTATTCCAACAAATCCCTTAACCCTTATGGAACAAGGGTTACAAGGATGCTAGAATAGCACACCCATTATTTCAGGAAATGGTGGGCGGATTGAAAGATGTGGGGTTGCTATTTCGGGATACTTCCGGTATCCCAAAATAGCTCCAC